CCCTTATACCTACACGTACGTTCTTTATAGGTACACTATAATTACAGAAACGTAAACCGTAAATTCAGTATACTTACGTAGTTGTTTGCAGATTGTAATCTAAAGCATTACATTATGTTGTTTTTTTTCTCTCATTCTAGTTTAACAGAACATGTAAGTGTGACCAGCTCTGTTCAGTTAAGGATACTTCTCTGTTTGCTCCAATAAGTAACAGAGATACTGAATTTATGATCCGTATTATTAGATTTCTTGGTAACACTTTATTTTGATGGTCCCTTTTGAACATTCTGTTGACAATAAGTAACGCTGGACCTAAATGTCTACTAACTCTCATTAGACAGTTAGTAGACTGTCTACTTAATATCTGCTAAATAAATACAATAAATCCGCTTTATTGTGATGGTCTCCCAACAGACATTCTACATGACTTTGCAAGTAGCCTATATGTCAACTTATTCTATCTCTAACCCTACCAGTCTACTCTACTAGTAGACATGTAGGTGCAATGTTACTTATAGTCAACAGAATGTGTTCTCAAAATAAAGTGAAACCGATTATTTAAAGTTATTTCTTGGGCTTATGCATAACATAACAGCTTGTTTCCTTATGCAGACCAAAAAGAATGTACCCACAAGGTCAAAATCTACTGGTATTACTGTCATTGCGGGAACATTTGGTCAGCATAACATGGGGAATACCAGGTACACACACACAAATATTAAAGCTATCCCATGATTTTATATTAACTTTTTCTTTCAACATGGTGCGGGGCTCACATACCGCCCATTTTTGCTACTTCTATCCTGCATAAACATAATTGTTTTTACATAAGCAAATGGAAGGAGACACAATGTAACTCATCTTTCATGTCTGTAGCACAAACATATGGAACAACTTACATAATTTAATAATTAGGGTCAGGGGTTTGTTGAAAAAAAAAAAAGTAATAATGATGCTTGACAAAAAGAAAAATGTAAGGCACAATATTCATTTGCGTATTCTGAGACTGCATTTGTTTTGTTGTGGCTGTGCTCTGCTTTTCACGGATACAGACATTTTTCCTATAAGATTTGTGACCTCAATAAATCAACACAACTGCATCCTTCCCTGCATGTGGGAGAGAGAATCAAAGACAGTCATGTTGATGGAGGCATTTATTTGTATTATTTGTACTTGGAAACGTCTTTTCTGCCTGATTCACAGGGAACCGTCTAGCCCAAAAAACCCAAGATACCTTTGTCTTTTGTCAGTACCCATATCTGAGACCTCCCTGTGTGTACCTTAGACACCCGCAGAGAGGCAGGGATGCTTTTAAAGGCACTGTGTGCCCTGCAAACACTAACCATCAAATTTGTTTGTTTATCCTCTGTGTGTAATTTATTGTGATGTTCACATACTCTGCAGGATGCCCAAATCCAAGCCTCGGGGAAAAGCATTAAGGACATGAATAAATTCAATTTGATATCACCCAGAATTATTTTTAACAGTCATACATTAGCATCTGTATTTGGGAAGAAAGGCTTAGGAGACGAGTAAAGAAAATGGCTTTATTAGAGGAGAAATAAGAATACTTTAGGATTTCACGTTATTGGGCCCTACTGTTGATAAACTGCTTAGGAAACAGTTTCAGGAAACATCAGAGAAAAAAAAAGAGGTCAAGAGTAAAAACTTGATTTTATGAAGCCTATTGATCTGTCTTGCTGTCTACTACCATAAGTATGTTTCTAACCCAAATGGAAACTTTACATCAGTGGTGAGGCCAGAAATCAGTGAGATAACCTTGAAATAAGCTGGACCTCTATTTTGTCCCTGTCATTGGCATCAACCATCCTACAATGATCACTAGGATTGTATGGGCCATGGCTCCCCCACAGCTTGTACAATAATGAACTTAAAAACATAGAAATGCTAATAATGTTTGAACAACATCTAGTTATTTTTGCAGTAATTTGTTGAAAAAATTACCTATAATTTCATACGTACACCGTCAAAAAAAAAAAAAAAAAAATGAAATGAATTACTGATAAATAAATAAAAATAAATAAATAATAAACAAAACAATTAAAAATAAATAAATAATTAAAATTAATTAATTAATTACTAAACAAATAGATAATTAAACATAAATAAAATAAATAAATGAAATTAATAAATTAATTACTAAATGAAATAATTAAAAACAAACAAATAACATTTTAAAAAATGAAATGAATTAATTATAAATATATAAAAACAAAACCATTAAAAATAAATAAATAATTAAAATTAATTAATGAATGACTAAATAAATAGATAAATGGATGATTAAACATAAATAAAATAAATAAATGAAATTAATAAATTAATTACTAAATAAATAATTATAAA